GTGGGAACCAGCAAGCGTCAGTCATCGTTCCACACCCTCCGGATCAAGTCTGCGATCCAGACCCTCCGGATCAGACAGCATAGGACCGTGCACTCAGGGCACGTGGTTTTGATCAGTGGCCATATAATTATGGTAGAATATATGTATATACCTATCCCGAAGATCTATTCTGATTTTTAGGCTTCTACATTGGATGCAGATCGTTTCCTGAGTTTGGCAGGCATCGGCTTAGATCTACAGCCTTGCACAGGACACATCTAGCAAGTTCGAGCTTTTCGATGTGCTGGACACTGACTTGTCAGGGAAACTTCCGCCGGAGCCCCGGTCTTTGTCTAGAGTCAGGTACGCAAGGACCTGAATAGCTCAAATAGGGCTTGGTGTACATAGCATGTTATCAGGATTACACGGAGATGTTGTTGGTAATTATACGTGCTTCCACATTACCTGCAGAGAATCATTCGAGCACGCAGAAGGTCCGTTCTTTTGCTTTCCCTATCCTCTTCCTACTATGTCTAGTCCTCCTGCTCTTGCCTCAGCTGGTGCGTCTACCGGCGCTCTTTGTTGCTTCTCCTGATACTTTCCTTGCTGCAACTACACGCAAGCTGAGCCGACGATTCTCACTGATGTTTGACTACTTTTCTGCCAGTGCTACCGCGGCTTGCGCTTGGAATACTCAAGCTAAGACACGTGTAACCGCAATCCATTGCAATGACAACAGCTGCCTCTACGATAATTGAGCGTTGTTACAGCCATGACGAAGACAGCCACTGTTGTAGTAGCTATGAGTAGCGGATGCTACTAAATTTGTTCTCTGTTGCTCTTTGAGCTTTGTCTGTATCACTGCGATGTGGTCATTTCCGCATCTGTCGTGCTCAGACGTGCGTAGTGCCAAGGTTCAGCGAGACAATCGAAGGCTTGATGAAGTGCCGCGGGCCTGTCTCCAAAACAGCAGCTGGGCCAGTTGATTCGGCATGACTCGGCCAAAAAAAGCAGCAGTAGCAGCAACATTATGATTACTAGTAGCAGTAACAGCAGCAGCAGTAGCGGGAGCAGCTATAGTCATAAGCCGATAGTAGCAGTCGTGGTGGTAGTCATAGTACTGGTATTGCCGCTACCAGTAGTACCACTAGTATTACCTGGACCCCAAAAGTATGTAAAATAATGGCCTTTATACTCTATTCTTTTACATATTTTAGGGGTTTAGGTAGTGGTACTTGTAGTACGAGTAGTAGTCTCGAGTACTGATAATAGTACTGACTAGTTTTGCCTAGCGGTACTGGTGGTGATTGTGAGATGGCGGCGTCAGTAGTGATAGTTGCGGCAGCGACTGTTTTGGCGGTATTACCAATGCTGACTTTGTTCTTGGGTGCTGATTTGCGAGCAAAAGCACGGATTGTACACTGAATGCACCTCCTCTGGGTAATAATTCGTGGGCTAGTGACTTGTACGACTCATGATTAAGGACATCATTTCGATTCGGCTGTCGCTTGGCAGCTATAGATGATGCTTGACTTGCTTCTGGGTTTTTGTGTCTACCGTTTCTCGGGATGGCCATGTTCACTTCGCTAGGCGCGTGCGGTATCTCACCCGCCTCGTTCAGCAAATCCACACAAAGCTTGGATGTCCACCCGTCAAGTGAGAGGCTAATAGCCGACAGAGGCCGGAATTGAGAGGAAGCATTCCTCGAACTGCAAACTAGTTTAAGGATATTCAGAGGCTAACTGTGACTGTCCAAGACAGGCCCACAGCTTCCCAGAAGAGTTGAGTCTAAAGACGAACTGGTCGCGCAAGCGACCAGTGAGTTTGCAACTCCAATGCGAACCTGACATATTCTGATGCATGCTCGGTAGCTTAGTGGCCTTCGGCCTTTTGTGATGCGAAAGTCTTTGTGTGGTGGTGCCTGGACCTCACTAAAGTGATCGCGGCCAGTTAAACCACCTGCAAGTTGTCCGATGGACCCACAAAGCGTTTGCTGATGAAAAGGAGCTTGACGAAGTTTTGGGTTTCCCAAAATCAGAGAATTCGGTGGTCCTGAGAATAAAGGTTATATATATATATGTATTTGTGTATCTCTCTCTCTCTCTCTCTCTCTTGGGGTCCATTTTTGGTTCACCTTTTTATGGAAACTCCCACTTTGCAACTCTCTCAGCAGGGTTTGCCGCGATACACCTCTCATAGGTGTCCCCCAAGGGGTGGCCAGGTATTCAGGAGCGGATCATAGGCATTATTGTGTGGGATGGTAGAGACATACACTATAGGATTCAGCACCCCTTTCCCAACTAAGTATAAGTACGTCTGCTTGTCAGACTTCCGAAGGGTTGAATTACGCTTGCGAATACAGTAAGTGAATTGTGTGTGATGATGATCAAGAATTCAAAGTCCTTCTAATCAAAGTTCCCTACCAGGGAGTGACGAAGGCTCTGATCTGACTGCTATCTGTTGTTGGAAGAAGAGAGAGCAGAAATGGTGCGCATCAAGTGATGACTTCTCCGAATATCAAAGTCCTTTTCATCCTGACTCACCGCCGGGTGGCGATGACGGAAGCTGAAGTCTGATGTTGGCTTTGCAGTGAAATTTGATGGGTTTAGAGCGCGACAGTGCGCAGCGTGTCCTCTGTACTTTGGTAATGGCAAATTGGGCACATGCAATGCCTCGAGCCCACCGTGCGCAGTTGGTTGCCTCGCCGCTCGTCTCTGGCTTGTCGTTGGGATTCAAGCAAGGCGGGGAAGCTTATTATGTCGGTCGACTTGATGTTGAATCTTTGAGACTCTTTCTGAAGTTGTGTTGAACAATGTTGAACAAGGGCTTTTTGAACCCAGTTCTCTGTCAACTCCATGAGGTGGGTGATCGGGACTGAAACCCGACTGCTATTTGGTTTTGGAAGAACAGAAAGCAGAAATGATGTGCATCACGTGATGACTTCTCCGAATATCAAAGTCCTTATCATCCTAGGATCATCATATTAATAGTAATGCATAGTCATAATATTGGGGCTAGTATAGGGCAATACTGGGTCATGTAGGGATAATGGAAAAGAAAACTACAGTCTGACCCACCGACGGGTGGCGATGACGGAAGCTGAAGTCTGACAGCGCCCACGATGCTCACGAGCAGTGAATAGGGGAACAGAATCCCTATATGCAATGCACGAACCCTACATAAAAAACTCCCTTCTTCCCTACTAACCCCCAGTAAGAAAGGTGTCCCCTGCTTGAGTGGCTTGCTCCGGAATCCTCACTCTGAGTCACCAGAAGGTTCTCATGATGAGCGTTTGCAAAATCAAAGTCCCTTCTAATCTGATCTCGCGCTGCAAGTCTGACAGAGAAGAGTGATCCATCCTGAACCTTTACCCCAAATTTCATCTCCCTCCTAATCCCTAAACCCTAAACCCTAAACCCTAATCCTTCTATGTCTGGCACCAGTCGCATTGCTGCCCTGCTGAAGTCCACAAGCTCTCGGGTTTGGTTGAGCTGCACCCTATCCCAATGAGGCTTGAAACTGCTGGGTTGCTGTTTAGGAACTTAAATTAAGTTACTAAATTGGGGAAACCCTATCATTTACTATATACGTATACCCATTATGAGAACGTAATTTTAAGTTCCTTAACAGCAACCCAGAATGAGGCTCGAAACTGGTCCTGCTGTGGCCATGAGGTCGTAGAGCAGCCTCGTGTGATTGCAGATTGATTGATTGGTTGTTGCAGATGGATCGTTTTAGGATGCTGTATGGTGTCTGCGTTTTAGGGTATTGTATGGCGTGCACGCTATGCGGTGCAGCGGGCCGTGCCTCCAAAAGTGCTTGGCTTCCTTGCAAAGTTTGCTCACGGGTTGAGGGGCCCTTCAATAGTGCGCGGCTGGGAAGCTTTGGGCCCAAAAGAATTCCCATCGCGGTCAGCCTTCGCTTGCACCATGCAGCGGCGACGCCCGGGGGGGTTAAATCCAACCCTCTTGGATGGCTCGCCGCGCAACGCGGCTGGGGAGTACGCGGCCTGTATGGGCCTGGGCGACGACGTGGATGCACAGGCAGCCATGCGTGCAGATGGGCTCGCGTGGAAGGAGCGGGGGTCTAGGACATTTTGTAGGCATGCGGTTCCTAGAACTGCATGTTGGGCTCGCCCGCTGTTAGGAGTCCGAAAAGGCTCTCCGCGCAGAGCCGGAGGCACAACCCACGATTCTGGACTGGGTTGCCGAGTGGCTGTGCTGCTGCAGCAAGCGGGAGGGCCATTGAGTGCCCAAGCAGCACTAGCCAGAGGAAGCAAATTGTTTTGTTCCACGAGAGTCAGCATGCTGTTGGGCTCGGCCGTTTGCAGCTTGATGCGAGATATGCGAGGCTTGGGCCATGTCCTGGGCAGCTGGAGGTGGGGGGTCCTGGGTAGTAATAGAAATAATAATAGTATACTAGTAATGGGAATAGCAATAGTAATGGTAATGGTAATGGAAATTTTACTAGTAATAACAATAATAATTGTAAGAGTGATAGTTTTTCATATGCCTGGATGTATTTTTGCTCTGGCAGGCGGCTACACACCCTCGAGACCTGTCCAGGCCCGTCCTGCCTAAGTGACACAATGAAACGATACAGATTCTGTCGGCCACATGAAGAAGCACGGGCTATCTGGCAAGTTCTCTTGGTGCACGCGCTGTTTCCGTCAAGTTGCAGCCTCTAAGTTTTACCTGGATGCTATATTGTTTAACCATGTTTTACCATGCTTTACCCATAGTGTTCGTTGCAAGCGGTGCAAGCAAAGGTTTTTGACTTGTGATGTGCTTGATTGCTGCAACTTTAAGATTGTGTTTCCCCTTTGTCCTTGCGTGCCTTACTCGTTGGAGTCTCTGACCAACACCGGCTCTTGCAAAGATTGCGCATGCCACCTTTGCATGTTCACTTTTGCAAAAGCAGGTGTCAAGTTATGTTGACGCTCTGCGCTGCCGAAAAGTTTTTGCAGGACTGATCCCCGGTTGGCCGCTGCCACTGCCTCGAGCAAAGCTCTCCAGGAGAGTTGAGTTTGCAACACCTGTTCCAACATGTCTAACCCACAGTGCTTTGCTGGTAATGTTGCACCCTCTTTAATCTTAGAGCCCCCCCCCCTAACAATACGGGCCTGAAAAATGAAAATAGGACGTCCTCAATAAGGCTCCCACGGCACTGAGGGCCCCGCGAGGCCTTGGGGATTACTTTAAAAGGGATGGTCTGGATTCGGTGCCGTATTTTTAGGGCCCCAATACCAAAACACATTAAAGAGGGTCACCNNAACATTGGCCATGTCCTGAATAAGCGGCGGCGAAAACATTTTAAAGATGGTCCCAATATTAAACCCAGTGCAACATTATGACCTCTGGTAATCTTGATGTAGATCTAGGCGGCTACAAGATACATGATGCGGAGCGTTGTGCATGCCGCGAAGCCCTGCAAATCTCCAGAAAGAATCAACTGTGGGCTTTCAGCTTTCTCCGCAGCAGATGATGCTCTGGAGGACGTGGAGACTGCGAAGACCAAGGGGATGAAGAAGCTGGAGAGCAAGGACCGCTTTTGCTCCGCGCAATCCCGATGCATCTCGCGCCCCCAAATTCAAAGCCCAAATCTAAGCAAATTCAAAGCCCAGATCTAAGCAGATGAAGTTGCCGCAGATTTTCAGAGCAGTTACACTGCCATACACTGCCTGTGAGAGGCTGCCCAATTGCGTGCCGTTTGCACGAATTCTGGCGCCGATGCTTCCGTGCCGGCTTTCCTCAAGGACATCCCTTTCTCAGCAAAATGCTGCAGTTTCTTGCATCATATCGACTGCACAGAAAAGTTTTTGCACAAGTAAGCATTTACACCCTAAAACGCCTTGAGCCTCCTCATGCCTATAAAGCTAACACCACAACAATGCATAAAGACGCAACGTCTACACTAAAAGCCTTATGCCACCCCAGAAGCCTTATACTTTATGTCCCCAACCTGTACACATCCTAAAGACCTCCAGTAAAAAACACGGAAAATCTACGTTGCGTGTTGTGGGAGGAGCTTAAGGTGGCCATCGAGCAGAAAGGAATCGAGCCAGGGAGCCAGGACCGGCTTTTCTTCGCGATTCATTTTTGTTTTAGGGGCTTCGACTTTACGATAGGTATGTTTAGGGGAATATTTCATGTTAGGGGTTCAGGGTTCTTGAATTCGGGCATTTACGGTGTAGGGGTTCAGGATTATGGATTGGAGGATGACATGCAAGATGGAATCAGATGCGGGAGCTTTTGTTGGCGTGGTATGGAGGGTGGATTCTCTGTGCAAAGTTAAAGACCAACTCATGATCCTGATATTCCATTCCTTCATTTCTGTACTTACCAACACTAGGCTTTGCTTTACTTTGTTGAGCCCGCGAGCCTATAAGAACCCAAAGGAAAAGGTCCAAGGTCGGGGTCTAAGGCTTAGGGTTCGGGATGGTTCGGATTTAGGTTTAGGGTTCAGGATCTTTCGTGAAGCCGCCACAGATCTGAGAGTTTCTCAGACATGCCTCTATACAGAACCAGTGGTGGGGATTTCCAAAATCTGTTTGTAACCCCCGGAGAAGCATCCAGAATCTCCATCCAGAATCTGAGTAAGCTTTTGCATTCTCAGTGGGTATTGGCCAGGTTGCAGCTTTCCAAGCCGTGTGCAGCAAAG